CATCTGACCCATCCGACCCATCTGACCCATCTGACCCATCTGACCCATCCGACCCATCTGACCCATCTGACCCATCTGACCCATCCGACCCATCTGACCCATCTGACCCATCTGACCCATCCGACCCATCTGACCCATCTGACCCATCTGAGCCATCTGACCCATCTGAGCCAGACCGGTTCAGTCTGTGGTTTTAAATCAGATCCATATCTGATGTTTTCACAGTGACTGCAGTGAGACCACAGCCTCAGGTTCTTTGTTATGGTGGAGAGTTTAAATATGTCTGAGAAACACTGAGTGTCCTTTAAACACTGTATAACACCCTCAGCTCCACCGTTCTGCACCGTTCTGCACCATTCTGCTGGGTTCTGCTGGGTTCTGCTGGGTTCTGCTGGGTTCTGCTGGGTTCTGCTGGGTTCTCCTGGGTTCTGCTGGGTTCTGCTGGGTTCTGCTGGGTTCTCCTGGGTTCTGCTGGGTTCTGCTGGGTTCTGCACAGTTCTGCTGGGTTCTGCTGGGTTCTGCTGGGTTCTACATGGTTCTCCTGGGTTCTACATGGTTCTGCTGGGTTCTGCTGGGTTCTGCTGGGTTCTGCTGGGTTCTGGTTTCAGGATGTTCTTTAATTGAATAAAGTTTTCAGAAAGTTCTGGTCCAAATAAAGTCTAACTGGATCCTCTGTTTGTGTCTCGGATCGGTCCGGTTCTGTTGAAGTTCTGTCCACAGCTCTGGACCTGGTGGACCTCAGTGACCCGGGTGAGAGCAGAAACTGCAGGAGGAAGAGTCCTCTGAGGAGGAGGAGGAAGAGCAGCTCCAAGAGTCCTCGACACAGAACCAGAACCGAGGAGACAGAGCTGGTCCACGTGGATGTGCCGACCAGTCCCAGAACCCCTGACAGGATGTCCCTGGACTCAGGTACTGTGTCCAGGTCCAGGATCGGAGCTCAGACTGGACCGGTTCTGCTGGACTCTGTCAGGTTCTGGTCCTGCTCCCCTGAGAACGAAGCTGTTGAAACATCTGCTGTTCTGACAGGTTCTCAGGTCCTGCAGACCTTAACGGACCCAGCTGACCAGAACCCTAAAGTCCTGAAGTCAGAACATCACAGACGGTCCCTTTGGGTCTGGAACCAGGCCCGGATCAATAATTCATCTGGTTCTAACCGGATCCAGGTCCAGGAAACAGAAAACCTTTAGTTCCTGGCTGTCAGACCTGGATCAGTTTCATAAAGTCCACCTGAGTGCTGAGTCATGGTCCCGGTCTGACCAGAACCACCAGACTGATCTGACCAGGTCTGACCAGGACCACCAGACTGACCTGACCTGGTCTGACCAGAACCACCAGACTGATCTGACCAGGTCTGACCAGAACCACTAGACTGGTCTGACCTGGTCTGACCTGACCCGGTCTGACCAGAACCACCAGACTGACCTGACCTGGTCTGACCAGAACCACCAGACTGACCTGACCTGGTCTGACCAGAACCACCAGACTGACCTGACCT